CTCGAGGACGACACCACCCCACCTAAGATATCTCCCCAGCCAGCGACACTCAACCGAACGCCATGCACGTCATATACACCTACATCAACTGCCTGATCTCCCCCCTTCGTGCTCCTCGCCGAAATCCTCGCGCGTGACATCGGCCCGCCTCTCGTCCCTTCCCCCAGTCAACCAACCTCGAGATCTCGTACCTCCCGTGGACCTCTCTCAGTTCTACAGCCCCCAGACAAATCGATACCGTCGCTCAGCAATCTTACAGCCTTCTAGCTCAAGATGGTAGTAGCTGGTTAACGTCGACGCCACCAATGACAACAACGATGAACCGCTGGCCCTAGCCTCACCACAGATAGGTAAGACCCTCTCATCTCCGCCTCCGCTAATCTCATCAGATCGTGTCCTTATATTGAAGTAACATCTCTAGGCGCTATTCCTCGACAGAAGGGCGGCCCTCGCCTGGATTACGACCGCTCGTATTTCCCAGTCGCTCGGTAAGTTCACGTCGTCTGTCTGTCACTCCTTCTTACTTATAGACCGCAACTCGCACAGAGCTGAACTAGCTGGAGCTTATATTGATATCACTCAGGTATTGATTTCAGCGCATCTAGTCTTTCCGTAAGTGAGTGTTCGTTCTCGTCGGGGTCAAGACATCCTCTGACAATAACGCAAGAGCAGAAATCTAGTCGCTTTTTAGTCAAGAAAAATTCTCGTTAGTCTCCCCCCTCGCATGTCCAGGGGTAAGCGCCAGTTCTCACAGCATCAAGTCACGTCGTCTGGTCGATTGCGAGACTAGACTCATTCAGCTTGGCATCAAGATCGCTTCAGCACATTGGTTCGCGCATTCACTGGAGCAACTACGGCGATATTCTAACGGCAGTGGTGGTGGTAGAGAGCAGGAGAGAACGTGGAGGAAAAAAACCCTTCTGAATGTGCATTGCGTCCCCATTTGGTTTCGCGATGCATTGCAAGGATGACAGCCCCGCCGCCACACTCGCTCCGCGTCACGATTTGCCCACCTCGACCTCATCATCTGGACACGACACATCCTCCTCTTTTGTTCTCTCAATCCCTTCCCCTCCTCGCCAAATCTTCCCTCATCGCCAAATCCTCACACTTGGATGTCACCTTTTCGCCATCGAGGGCTGCCTCTTACAACGACGCTGACTATCACCCCTCCATGATCTCTTGGCCACGCCTTCAAACTTAGTTCACGCGACCAGCACAACTATAAACTATATCGTTGGTGGCCATTTGCTTGTGGAAAGTATGCTGGCGAGCAAGGGCCTCGAACGCGAAAATGGCAAGTGCGTTTGAATGGGGGCCAGTTCCCACGCTGACCGTTCATATTGACTCTTTCCCTCCTCACCCTCTAGGACGCTTTCCCCAGTCCCAACCGCGCGATCGGCGTTGGTGGGACGCGTTCGACTATCTCTAATATCATTATACCACCTTTCCTTCATCTCTCGTTCCCCTCTCGAAAAAAAAACCTTCATCCAAATCTGCCTCTCTTGCTCCGATCCCCGTCCTCGCTGCGCCCAGAAGAACGCGTTTCCAAGCTGAAACCGCACGATCG